CGCGCGTGGTCCGCGCCGGGAGCGGCGCGAGTCCTTCCTCGAAACGCCTCGAAACGCCTCGGAACGCCCCAAAGCCGCCCCACGTGGCCCGGGGCGCCACGGCTTTATGCAGGCCCGTGAATAGCGAAGTTCTGAAGCGGCATAAAGGTCGGTTTTTGAGGGGCTTCCTAATGATAGTTCCAAGTATGCACAAAATCACTAAAGGAAAAAGTATTTAGGTGATAGTCTAGTAATTTGTGTGGTAAATGACCGCGTTCATAAAATGCAAGTCAGGTGCAATATTGTGTGTGTTTCTCAGAGGAATGTTCTGAACTGCATGTTTGCTACCGCACCTTCAGTTAAGAGATTTTTACCTTTTCTTTAGTTTTCCCTCCTATTTCATGTATTAGTGTCGCAAGGGACAGTGCAGCTAAACTCACAGAAAAGTGGAATGTTATCCCATTATTCTTGACACTAAATCTAAGTGGCATGTCGTAGAGATTGAGAGGTTCTGCAATTCAAAGTGATTCAGATATAAAATATTGGGTCATTGTTTAAACTATATTGAAATAAACACTCATCTGCACACAGAGACTGAAGGCAGTTTTTAAACCTGCTGTTATTTACAACAATGACCTCTTCGTTGTCCCATACTTGTGTTATAGGTCCTCGTTCTTTGGAAACACGTGGATATTCTTCGCTCTGTACACACCAAGAAATCCTAACTTTATGTCGGCTATTCATACTGCATAAAACTAGTAAATCAGAGATATTTTCAAGATTAAAGCTATAAGATATAGGATAAAAATAGTCTGTGATTAACTGTGTAAGTCCTTTTGCAGATCTAGAATAGCTATAATTGTTGACTTCGAACTTGCTTGTGCTTCCACACTGCTAAAATGAGGACATAAAAGATTACTGATAAGTAACCATTTTTGTAATGATTTTGGTAATTTTGATGCATGGACTCTTTACTAATCAGGGAAAATACAGGGAAAAGTGGAGGACATATCATTTTGATACTTAGAACTACTTGGTCCACTTTCATAACAACAAAAAATAGTAATTTGAGCAATAAATTAATGTGAGTTTAATCTCTAAATTTTCTAAAATCTTAAACAGCTCTTTAGTCAAAAAGACAAACTGATCAACAACTTTGCTATAAATTATAATCTAATGCAATGGATTATTACACCTGATGTAGCCAGGGACACAGCATTGAGAGGTGATTCAAAATTTAATTGTCATTTTGCAGGAATTATTTATCTAGCATTTACTCTGGAGCAAAATTCTAACTCCTAAAGCAAGTTGATACAGAGATATGAGGTGTCTTGGAACTGAGGCTTTATAACCCCTCATTGCAGAGTGCACACGGGCGCTCACATCTGAGTGCGTGGTCTCCTAGCTGCATTTCCAGGGGTGATTTTATGTAAGATGAAAAATTTCTGTCACTGGGGAAAGGCGATCTTGATTTTCAGCTCCCAGATAGATGTGAGAAAAGGGAACATATGTGCAACCCCACTGAAGCTGCTAAATTATGGTTCCTCAGACAAGGTCATATCTCCCAATTCACAATTTATATCCATCAACGTTAAGTCAGTGAATCCATTCCAGCTTTAAGCTGCCAGAGATTTACCAAAAGTCATTCGTAGATGTTACTATTTGAGATCCTGTAGGCACTGACCAAAGTCTTGTGTCTCTGAGGTTCTGGTAACCAAGTGAGCCTGCATAAATTAAAAACCTGCTATTTTCTTCAAGTGGAGCTAAAATTAAAGACATTTCAGTAAATTTGCTTTAGTACCAACTGATGATCAGTTTGAAACTTAATAGAGCCGGACAATTCAGTTTGCTATATGATTACATACTGTGCTTCTTTTGGCAGTTAGTATTTCTTTTCTGAACGTTTCCAAGGTGACAGGAGCTCATATATGGAGATTACTAGCTTTTAGGCAGGAAAATATGCCAATAATGGAATTTTGTTGCAGTGAATTCATTTCAGATTAAAAAAAAAAAGAAAAAACGGAACTTCTCCTTATCGTTTCTATAATATGGATCAGTGCTTGCCTGTAAACAGTGACAAAACATTGGTGTCTTATCAAACAATAATTCCCTAGAGATCTTGCAAGAACAGAATGAGAGGGGAATTTGTTATCAGAGCACTCCAAGGTGGAGTGAGCAGAGATGACCTTGGATGAGATTGCATCTTTGAGGGCAACACATCTGTAATAAGACAGGCCACTCCTGGAACTACAGGGCATTTCATTTTGGAATGAAATTTTGGGAATTTCATCCCAAAGCTATTGCACAGAAAAGAGAAAAAGAGGGCAAAGTATCTGTCCCCACTGCACTTCGCAATTAGCAAAAGATACATATAGAATGGGGGAGGAACTAGATATTCTGCAGAACATTTGGAAACAAATAAAAATTAGGTTTTTCACCCAAGCTTTTAAGCAAAAAGAACATTCATATAGAGTCTATACTGATATTTAAGTAGAGACACAGTTGTGTTGGGGTCACAGGACATTGATACGACACAAGGCATCGCTTTTGTACCAATTCTGAAAAGAGCTAAATATTCCTATCATGTGACTGCAATGGATATTTCCAAACCTCATTTATAAAAATAGACATATGTGTGTAATTTCTATATCTAGAGACATTTGGAGACGTTGCCACAACAGAGTCTTGCACGAGCTGTTTATGTGGAACCGTGGGAGAGTGAAATTAATTATCCGTGTGGTACATTTTTGCCTTTAAAAATTGTATGTGACAATAAGACATGCTTATTGTGCTGGCAATAACATTTGTTCCAAACTGTGTGACTCCAAAATGAAAACCAAGCTATGTTGAAGCATAGTTTAATCTCATGCAGGCTCTGATGATCCATGTGAACTGTAAATGCAAGGTCACATCATAGGATGGCTACTTCTGTACCAGGGAAAACCCCACAGTACCTGCAGCCAGAGGAAATGGGAGGAGGTACCAATTTAGAAGAGTGACAAAAAGGCTTAAGAAACATTTAAAATAATGGGTCATTTTAAAAAGAATTATTTGACAGTTCCAAGCCAGTAGCTAAAGGAAAACTTAAATTATTTTAAAAGGGATTAGATGAAAAAGATTTGGGAAGCTTATTTATTTTGTTTTGATGTTTTAATTTTAATTGTTTTTAATCTCTCTCTTGAGCAATTTTAATCTGTCATTAGCTGTAAAGAGTTTGGGATATTTTTGCTAGAATTGTAGGAAATTAAATATATTGTTGATCATTATTATTTTATCCTCTCTCGTTTTACAACTAGGAATGATTAATTTTGAATGGGGGAGTATATTAAAAAACACTGATTTGCTAATATGTATTTCTATTCAGAATCTGAATGACCTTGTCCTTCTTCAAAATCATATTGAATATTTTAGGCCCATTTACATCAAACACAGTTTATTTACTTGAGCTAAATTATGCATTTATTTTAGAATTTTGTGGGAATGGATATTAGATGAGCTCTTTTCTTGAAGTACAGACACAAAGTGGTAGCTAAATCAGTCCTATGAAAATAACAGGAGAATTTGATAAACCCAGGCAGAAGAATCCTCTTGGCCTATCATGGTGATGATGAAAGACAAATTCTCCTTTCATTTAAGAGGGCATTATCAACCCAAACCTACAGGATAAAGCTTTCTTTGCTTATTCAAGATGATTTCAGCAAGTGGTAAATATCCCTTTGCAAGCCTGAGTAAATGAGCCAGCATTATTTTCTGAGGATAATCAGAACCCTGATAATACCTCTGAATTACCAGAGTTTGCCAAATGTCTATTAGTTAAAATCTTGCAACCAAACCCATTCCTACCATAATTCCACTGAAGATTTTGTGATCAGTGACTTTCCTGCTTTGGCTGTGGAACTGCTGAAAAGGGAACATATTAGTAGAAGAAGAACTAAGAAAGAGAACTAGCTCAAAGAATCTAAGATACAATATGTAGATGTTAATCTTCCACCCTTATTGCAGTATCACAACTACTGTCAGCAAAGAAGAGTTTAATGGGATCCAAGTGAAATAAGTGCTACAAGTGCAGCTGGAGTAGAAACACACTTCTTTCAATACTGATTCTTTTAGAGGAGTCCTACCGTACTTGTTTTAATGGCCAAATTTATAGCAGCGTTTATCCTTTTAGAGCCTATGCTGCCATAGTCTTCTTATATACATCTATATACACACATATAAGGAGTAGGTACATAGTTAACTGAGACAGCATCCTTGAGAGCAGGGAAAACATGAAAAAAAGAAATGTCAATTGCAAATGTTTTGGAAGATGTAAATCTGCCCTATTACACAGAGGAAAAAAAAAAATCTGTTTGATATCTCACCCTGTTAGTTCCATTAAAAATCTGTTGGTTTCCTTCCTCCATCAAAAATAGCTTTAATGGAACAATAAAACTACTGCAGTGTAAATATAGGTCTTTCCTCCCTAGCATGCAGGCACTGAAATTTGCGAAGAAAGATCACAGAAAAACCAAAAACCCCACTGACCCCAACAACAAAAAAATCATAATTCTTACACTCCCAAGAACATGCGTCTCTACACGCACGTGTGTTCAGGTACGCATTGTGTACAGACGCACATAGATTCTTCTGAGGAGCTGTTACTTCCCCAACCCTCCTTAGTTGCCATTTAAAATAATGGCATTAAATGGTTAAAAAAAAAGGGAATAGATAAACCAAATGTTTTACCCAGGTGCATCCTTTCATCCTTTCATTTGAGTAAAAGTATCTGCACATTCACTTTTGCTTTAAAAGTCTCCTAAAAATGTAGCCTTCCCAGTGTTTTCTCTGCGGGTTGGTTTTAAAATTGTCCTTCTAGATTGGAAAGCACCAAGAAGCAGAGGAGAGCAGGAGAGAAAGAGCGAATATGGAGGAGAGACAAGTTTGACCTGCGAGCGAAGACGAAGCCAAACTCCCGCGGAGCCTGTGGCCGGCTTTCCCTGCGGAGCTCTCCCAGCGAGTCCCGTCTGTCGGAGCGAGCCGAGGCTGGGAGTTTGCAAGGCACGAGGGATGCAGCGTACGCGGCGTTACTGAGTTAACAATTTCAGCCCCGGAGCAAGCAGGGGTTGGGTTACAGTGAAGGCAGTTTCACAGCTCCACACCTGCATGAGAAATCCAGAGCGTTTCATTTCAGAAAAGCCCCTTAGGATGTGATGGAGATGAGGAAGAAGTTTATCAAGCCTTGGAAGGGCGATTCTCCTTTGGTTTTGCTCTGTCAGCCCGGGACGGCTTTTAGAAAGCAAAGGGCTCCCCATTTCCCCTTCCCTGCAGCACGGTCCCCCTGTTTGCATCCCTGTTCCAGGGCAAGCGGCGGAGCGGGGCTGCAGCCGCTGCTGCCCCCGGATTTTTTGGGGGGGGCGGGGCGCGGCAGCCTCCGCGCAGCCCTGCAGCTCCCCTCGGCCGGATCAGCATTCCGCTGCTTTACTCCGGACTGCCTCCCCTCTATGGCTAGATCCCCTTTGCCCTTAGAGCGGGCAGCATCTCCGTGTTCCAGCCTGCCGCTCTTATTTGCGCAGGACACGTTTAGTATCTCAGGAACACTTGGAGTTTGCTTCCTCCCGCGCTCGCTGGGATCAAATCTGCAATTTCAGGGGTTATTTTCGGCAACGAGCTTGGCGCTCGGGAAGCTGGGCTGCAGGAAGAACGAGGCGCGGCGCGGCGGCAAACAACGCGGCGCTTGAAACTCAGCCTCAACTTCCCACCGCAAGGATGGCAGCGCTGCTGGAGCTCTGGAGCTGCCCAGCGAAGCAGGGAACCTGCGTTGTGTTCGCCGCTGTCTAATACGTGGGAGTAAAATGGAATTTCTTACCTGGCTTTTTCCTGCCTTGCTTCTACTGTGCACGCAGCAGCACAGGTGTATCAGGTAAGAATGCGTCTTATAATTCATTCCTAGAGCAGCCTTGGGATGGCTTTTCTGTATGTGTGGGTGGCACAAAAGGATGCCAGGTTTGTGGTTGTTACTCCTTTCCCTGCTCCAAGCTCCCACTCCCACCTTTGCCCGCAGATGGTCTCCTTTTAAGGGCTGCAACTACCTGAGTTTCGGTGGGAAAAGGGGGTCTTGACTGAAGATTTTCCTCCAAGGTGCCCTATACTTTGTGTTTTCTTTCCCCCTAGGAAAGGATGCAGTTCTGCAAATTGATCTGCAATGTTTTGGGTTAATCTAGGGGTATGTTTTAACAGTTTGCCTAGGGAAACACTTCAACCTGGGGGTGATCACCTTTTGTAACAGCGCTGCACATCCTAGGGCAGCCTCACCCCGACCTTCCCCCCAAAATAGCTCCGTAGGGGACCTGGCTGGACAAGAAGCCCTTAGTAAAGCGCAGCACAATCACTAACTGAACATCTTTGCCTACTGCCTTCACAGACATTACTTTTAAAAACCCCAAATGTAGACATTCCTCTGCTAAGGACTTTAAGTCTCCTGGACCTGAGAAAAGAGACTGCAAAAGAGCTTATTAAAAAAGTTTGAGGAAAGCCAACTGCTTTTAAAAAATAATAAACTGTAAAGATGAATGTTTGCAACTGTCAGTCACTTTTATTCAGAAGATGTTAACTAGGCAACCAGCTATGTTCTCTATATATTCTCTACAGATCTGGAGGCTGCATGTGGAGAAAGCTTGCTGTGATTATGCAACGAAAACAGAGTGGGGGGGAAGCAACTTGGTGCATGTAAAAACAGGTCCACATCGTGCAGTGGAGAGGGCTGTGGCATTAAAGAGGTCTTCCTGCTTTTATTTTATAGACATTGTTAATAGTTCAGAGGGGTATTGGGAGCAAAGTGATGATTGTAGTAAGATGTAATTCTGTTGTTTCAGTTTTTGAGAGAACAGTGAAATCTCCTTATTTCACTGGAAAGGAAAAGTGTCTTGGATTAGAGGAAGTGTCAGGTCAAGTCCTCTTGTTCAGGACCTGCCTTAATGATCTGCCTGTGACCTTGAGCCTGTTATCCAGGGCCAGATCCGGACACCCCTGTGCTCTGGTGTGATCCAGTATTTAACAAAAGGCAGAGGTGAAGATACCGTTTATGATCTAAAGGCATCAAGACTTGTCCCATAATGTCAATGAATCTGTTTGTCTCTCTCCACTTTGATTAGCCTTAAATATTTTGCTTGAAAATTACCGTTTCAGTAAAAATAAAATCAATTTTAAGGAACAATCAGTCTTCTCAGTCAATGGCTTCAAGGTCTGTTTCTAAACATAATAACAGCCAGGAAATGTGCAACCCTTAATTTGTTAGATAAATCATTTTATTGTTGGATTAACTGCCTAGTTACTTGGCCTTCTTCAGTTACACAATCATGCTGAATTGTTGTTAGAAACTGTGGGTTAGAAAAGGCAGCTTCTAGCATGTGAAATCCAACATTTGAACATTGCTTAATCCTGTAAAAGTGAGTAAATGTGCTTCTTTGCTTACATATGTACTTTAAACAGAAATTGAAAACATTTTATTTTTGCCTGAGAAACAGTACTCACACCTACGTGACCCCTGACTATGAAATAATTCCCTTTTTAAGAGCTAAGGAAGCATATTAATTGTCTTATTCCTCTTCCTTGAAGTCCTGAAGGAAAGAAGGGTTTTGATGTTCATAATATTACCATCAATCAAGCCTAATGCTTTTTCAATTACATTTCAAAACATAGACCATATTTATAGTGAGTTTCACTTAGAGTCAGGAATGGCAGATGGAAAGGATACACATGCTGCCCTGGATAATCCTGGAGCCTGACAGAGGACAGATTGTTCACTGACCTTGCTATATATTCCTTGTATTTTATTAACCAAGAAAATGTTTTCTTGAGTGGCAGTGACATCTGCAACATTTGCCCCCAAAGGATTATCTTAAAGGGAAGGAAATGTACTCCATCCCAGTGCGCAGTATCACTAAAACCGGTGTTTCCATCTTCCAAGTTAATACATTCATACTGTAGCTATGTCACTGCCCCCAAAAGAATCAGTCAGATTAGCAGATTTAAGGAAGAAATGGGAGATGTAGAAAGTGATTTTTCACATCTTTTCTTACTGCTATATGCATTTGTGAGAAGGTTAACAACTTCCATGCAAGTGTGACTTAAAAAGCTTGGAGTTTAGGATACATGTACTTTTAATTCTAGAACAGATCACACAGCTCTCCCAAGAGATGCATTTCTCTGATATGTCATTTGGGGTCTGTTGTTGAGTTGCTTTCCC